AAATAGTTGTAACAAATAATCATAATAAAATTAAACAAAATTTAAATTAGCCTTCGTACGTCAGTGCCACAACAGGCATATGATGACCGGCTCATATTTTTATAGACCAATCAGCACTCATGATGTCGTCAGTAACTCACACAATTTGACAGCCTTTACTTTCCCGGATATTACCCATTTTACGCTGCACTGACTTTAGAGTTTTTTAAAAACAATACGACTCAATGCAAATTCAATGCAAAAATTGTGAAGTAACAATGGTACTTGGAGATTTCAACGCGAAAATAGGAAGTGAAAAAGTGTACGGAATAACGGGTGGCTATGGCCTAGGAGAAAAGAATATGAGAGGTGACAGATTAATAGCATGGGCTGAGTCGCGCAGTATGATAATAGGTAACACCTGGTTTAAACACCATCCTCGAAGATTGTGGAATTGGAAAAGTCCTGGTGATAATGTCCGCAATCAGATTGATTATATTTTGATTTCAAGAAGATTCAGGAGCAGCTTGGAGCAAAAACTAGACCAGGAGCAGACTGCTTTAGTGACCATGTTCCAGTTGTAGGAAAAATTAGAATAAAACTAAAGAACATTAGAAAAACACCACAGAACATCAAGTTAAATTTAGGAATTCTTAGAATGGATAAAGAAATTAAGAACCAGTACGATGTCACCAGTATAATGCAATGGCAATTATACAGACTGTTGATGAACAGTGGAATATGTTGCGTCAATTCAGCAGACATCAAAAGAGACAATCCAACCAACCCATAGAGTTGCAAAAAAGAAATGGATGTCAACAGAAATTCTGCAGTTGATGGATGAAAGAAGGAAGAAAAAGAATGATAAAGAAGAATACTCTAGAATACAAAAAGAAAAAGTGAACAAATGCAAAGTGACTAAAGAAGCCCGGCTGAATCAAATGTGTACAGAGATTGGGGAAAATCACAGGAAAGACTCACATTCCATGTACCAACAGATAAATATGTTAACAGGAAAGATGACACGTAACAGCACTGGATGTTTGAAATCAAAAGATGGTGACTTATTAATGGGACATAGTAATATAATTAGCAGATGGACAGAGTATATAGGGGAATAGTATGATGATAATAGACCAGACGTAGAACTGCAAACCAACAATGATGGTTCACCAATAATGACTGCAGAAGTTGAGGAAGCAATACATCATATGAAGAAAGAAAAAGCACCCGGGTCAGACAATATCTCACTGGAAGAAATCGAAGCATTGGCAGATTTCGGAATTGAAATAATAACTAAACTTTTAAATGATATTTATAATAGTGGGTATATTCCAAATGACCTTTTAAAATCCATATTTTATAGCTCTGCCAAAGAAACCAGGCACTTTAAAATGTGAAGACCATCGCACAATAAGTCTTTTGAGTCACGTGACTAAGATTTTACTAAGAATAATTATGAGAAGAATAAGAAATAAAATTAAACCAGAAATCAGCGATGAACAATGTGGATTTGTAGAAGGAAAAGGTACAAACAATGCCATATACATCCTAAGGACATTGTCAGAAAGAGCTATAGAAGTAAAGACTGATTTGTACTTGTGCTTCATAAACTATACAAAAGCATTTGACAGTGTGAAGCATGAAGTAATCAAACTGTTAGAAAAATTAAACATTGATGGGAAAGATCTACGAATAATAAAGAATATGTATTGGCAGCAAACAGCAGCTATAAGAATTAACAACTGTTTAGGTACATTTCAAAGCGTAAAGAGGGGCGTACGACAAGGATGTGTACTGTCACCTGATTTGTTTTCGATATACAGTGAATATATAATAAGATCTTTAATTGATATGCCCTGATTTGCGGTTGGTGGGCGCAGTATAAACAATTTACGTTATGCTGATGACACAGTCTTGATAGCAACAAGTCAGAAAGAACTACAGGAAATGATAGACATTGTGGTGTTAGAAAGTGGAAGAATGGGCCTCAGTTTGAATAATGGGAAGACAGAAGTAATGGTGGTATCAAAGAAACGAATTATTCCTAAGTGTGTAATAAAAGTTGATGGTGTTATTTCAGGACAAGTACATAAATGTAAGTATCTGGGCACATGGATAACATCAGATGGAAGATGCATAACTGAGATAAGAAACAGAATAGGACAGGCAAAAACTGCATTTTATAAAATGAAAAACATCTTGTGCAATATATCCTTGTCATTGAGAGTTAGAAAAAGAATTCTTGCTTGCTACATACATCCGGTTTTAACATATGGCTGTGAATCCTGGACAATTGGTAGGCAGGCCAAACAATTTCTAGCGGCCCATAAATGTGGTTTTACAGAAGAATGCTTAGAATACCTTGGACAGCCAAAAAGAGCAACCAGGAGGTTTTGAAAGAGGCGGGAGCCCAAAGACAACTTATCACAGACATCAGGAGACAGGCATCATTTTTCGGCCACCCCCCCCCCCCCCCCCCCCCCACCCCCCACCCCCCCCCCCCCCCCCCCCCCCCCCCCCCCCCCCCCCCACCCCCCCCCCCACCCCCCCCCCCCCCCACCCCCCCCCCCCCCCCACCCCCCCCCCCCCCCCCCCACCCCCCCCCCCCCCCCCCCCCCCCACCCCCCCCCCCCCCCCCCCCCCCCCCCGCCCCCCCCCCACCCCCCCCCCCCCCCACCCCCCCCCCCCCCCCCCCCCCCCCCCCCCCCCCCCCCCCCCCCCCCCCCCCCCCCCCCCCCCCCCCCCCCCCCCCCCCCCCCCACCCCCCCCCACCCCCCCCCCCCCCCCCCACACCCCCCCCCCCCCACCCCACCCCCCCCCCCCCCCCCCCCCCCCCCCCCCCCCCCCCCCCCCCCCCCCCCCCCCCCACCCACCCCCCCCCCCCCCCCCCCCCCCCCCCCCCCCCACCCCACCCCCCACCCCCCCCCCCCCCCCCCCCCCCCCCCCCCCCCCCCCCCCCCCCCCCCCCCCCCCCCCACCCCCCCCCCCCCCCCCCCCACCCCCCCCCCCCCCCCCCGTATGAGAAGAGGGAAAATAGAACATGTTGTGACCACTGGAAAGATCTGTGAAAGGAGGGATAGAGGAAGACAACGAGAGAAGATGCTTGACAGTCTTGTTGCATGGCATGGAGGTGTGTCGGCACACGAACTGATACATGCTGCAGGAGATCGCAGATTATGGAGAGGCATGATCGCCCACGCCAGTCGGCAAGGCAACTGATGATGATAAAGATGACTCAATATAGACTCGAACATGATAGCTTTTCCTACCATAGACGAGCGTAAATAATAATAATTATAAACCACTTCTGCCATTAGGTGTCGGGGGTGGGGGGGGGGGGGGAATTGCGATCCAGTGCAAGCTGGCTAGTACTGGCTATTGTCAAGCAGTAAAATACATGGCAGTAAGTTTTGATCGAAGCCTTAGCTGCAAATTCCAAGTTCATACTATGATTAACAAATCCAGAAAGGGTTTGGCTGCAATGAAAGTTGTGGCTGCCATGTGGGGTCAACACAGGTTGCTAGTTATCCTTTACTAGGGTTTGATCCTCTCTGTCATAGAACATGCGCTGACAATCCTCACACTCAGCAAGACACAAATTAACAGACTGGAAAAGGTACAAAAGGAAGCATGTGCATCACACTTGGCTGGACCAAAGACACCTCATGTTGACCAATGAGATACCTACTAGATGTTTCAGACATAAACAACAGGCTAGAAATGCGTCAAGCGTGCGCCTATTTTAAAATCACTGAGGACTTTACACATCCGCTATAAACACGCAGAGGTCACAGACTCAAACGAGGCCAGTCTTGTTTGTGGATTGTGCAGAGGCAGAACTTCAACGGGTGATTTCCCTCCACGACATAAACCATGGAGAGGAATGGGTACCCATACCACATGAATACAAACAGTACTTTGTGGTGGTTGTCACCTGGACAAGACAATGCCGTGATTTAGCGACACCAGTAGTTGTTGCAGAAGTGAAAGCATTGGTAGAGGAACACACATCGCCGGAAGATGCTGTTATACATCCAGATGGTTCTGTGATTCGTGAGAACTACGGACTTTCACAGCAAGAATCAAAGGGAAAGTCATTAAAGAAGACAGTGAGGCCTTTACTTCTACCAGCACCAACATGGCAATGGAGGTCATAGCTGTGACAACGGCCCTAGAATGGCTGAAAACTCTGAAGTGCACCAATGCATGCTTGCTCAACGACTCAATGACCTTGCTAAAGAAGATCAAGGCGGGGTACATGCGGAAACAGTGGCTCCATCTGATTCAGCACGAAGCATTTTGCAAAATCACCTATATTTTTGTCCCAGGGCATGCTTGAGTGAAATTAAATGAGAGACATCGTCAATGCCATACGAGGGACTAAAAGCTGTAAGGCTTTCAGTTTCATGGAAAATTATATTTTTACTCAATAGACTGCATACCATGGGTCTACCAGTTGGAGCCACGAGACAAGAAAACCACGAGGGAGCCACCGGTCGTTACATCAACCAGAACAGAATAGGAGTTGTTAGCCCAGAAACACTTACAGACATGACCAGAAGGAGATCGGAGCAATTATGATCATGTCCGATGTGCGATGAAGATGATTTCTAACATGAACTATTGTCATTATCGTGAAAGCACGAAGTGTCTTTAATGTTGTCGATCTATGTTTCTGTGGTCATCGTCTTGCTGTTGTAGCTGATCTTCTGAGATGTACTGCCTGCTATGGTACCTGATGTTGCCACTGTCTAATGAGATGGTCAAACCACTTGATCTGATACTTCAGAATGAATCTACTACAAGGTATTATGTAATAATGTGTCTGACTGTATCATTACTCACTCGCTCTCCGATGGTTAGGCAGGTAAATAATAATATAAACAAATAAAACTTCCTCAACTGGTCAAGAGAACTGGGCAGCTGTGATTGCACATGTCTACTCCAGACCTGATATCTAAAGAAATAACACACATGCACTAAAGTAATGAACAGACAATAATGAGAAGATTACATACTGTCTGAGGTGTGATGTCAGGAAACAGCCGCAGTAAAACAACATTTCTGCACATGTTTGTAGCAATTGAGAACTCTTCTGTAGTTTCCGCTCTCAACACTGCTGCATAGTTCACTGTGAAAATATAACCCATGGTCAATTATGAAAATATATGTATGATCAGTTTCTAATTTATTTTTATTGTTAACTGTGAAAACATAGGACCTGTTGAAATTAATATATAGATCATTGTCAACTGTGAAAATAAGATCATGTTGAAGTGAATATATAGATCATTGTCACCTGTGAAAATATAGGTCATATTAAAATGAATATATAGGTCATGGTCAACTGTAAAAATAAGGTCATGTTGAAGTGAATATATAGATCATGGTCAACTGTAAAAGTAAAGTCATGTTGAAGTGAATATATAGATCATGATCAACTGTGAAAATAAGGTCATGTTGAACTGAATATATAGATCATGGTCAACTGTGAAAACAGGTCATGGTTGAAATGTGAAAATAAGGTCATGGCCAACTGTGAAAATATAGGTCATGTTTAAGTGAATATATAGATCATGATAATGTAAAAATATAGGTCATGTTGAATGGAATTTATAAATCATGGACAACTGTAAAAAAAAGGTCATGTTGAAGTGAATATATAGATCAAGGTCAACTGTAAACAAAAACAGGTCATGGTTAAAATGTGAAAATATAGATCAAGGTCAACTGTAAAAAAACAGGTCATGGTTAAAATGTGAAAATATAGATCAAGATCAACTGTAAAAATATAGTATCTGCTCAACTGAAAATATATTTAAATGATAAACTGAAAATATAAGTCATGGTCAACTGAAAATACAGGTCGAAGTCAATTTAAGAAAATACAGGCCGAGGTCAACTGTGAAAATGTATGTCATGATTAAAATGTAAAAAAAAAAAAAAAATATAATGTCATGGTCAACTGTAAAAAAAAAAAGGTCACGGTTAAAATGTAAAAACATAGGTCACGATCAATTGTAAAAATATGGGATTTGCTTAACTGTGAAAATATATATTTCATGGTAAATTGAAAATATAGGTCATGGTCACTGTGAAAATACAGGCCATGGTCAGAGGTAAAAATATAGGTAACTGTCAGGCAGTGAACACATCGGTTATGATCAAAAAGTAAAAAAAAAAACAATAATTAGGCTCTGGAAATTTTTTTTTTAAAGCGGTATTGATTGCGTTTTAGAATAAAAATCACAGACGACGACTGAGACAATAAACAGCTAAAAGGAGACATTACATTTTGGCTCTCCTCCACTAGAAACTTCAGTAAAGGATAGTTAAAGGTCAATGAGGATTTTCTTCTTCTTCTTGCTTGTCTGAGTGACCTAATTGCATTTTGCCTGTTTAGAGCATAGCCAAACGCCAAAATGCCAAACGTGGACACTTACATCCTCCAATGAATGTAAAATTATGACAACAGAGATGCAATGTCTTAGAAGAGCTGCAGGAGTTTCAAGGAAAGACAGAATACGAAATCATGAAATCCGACGAATGCTAGGAATAAAGCCAGTCTTACAGGTCATCAAAGAACAACAAATGAAGTGGTTTGGACACCTAACAAGAATGCCCTGGTACTAACTGCCACAGCGGGCCACACTAAAACGTTACAACGGGTATAAAGCGAGTGGAAGACCTCGGAAAATATCGAGGGATGGCATTAATAACAGCCTTACAGAAATGAACATCAGTCTTAATAGTGCTCTTGACAGAGCTCATCAACAAACATTATATCCCCCCCCCCCCCCCCGACACTTCAATGTTGTACAAGGTGGAAGAGAAGAAGAAGAAGAAGAAGAAGAAGAAGAAGAAGAAGAAGAAGAAGAAGAAGAAGAAGAAGAAGAAGAAGAAGAAGAAGAAGAAGAAGAAGAAGAAGATGAAGATGAAGAAGAAGAAGAAGAAGAAAAAGAAGAAGAGCATAGCTACCGTATTTGTGCCTTTCGGCAAACACATTTGACTTCACCGGATTAGCCTTCCTGTAGACTTTTTTGGGACAGGACATTGCCTTATTGGTATGGTGTCTTTTTTGTCCATTAATATACAGGTGTTGTCCAGGAAAACCCATCCACGGCATCTGCGCGCAGACAACTCGACCCTCAGAGGAAGGCAGGAGCAAACTACAGGCATTCCCCGCCACCCAGAAGGCTTCCATAAATGCAGAGCCGATCTCTGACGCTCTGGTTCCGGGTTCATCTAAAGAATCATCATGTTCTGCACATGACTGCCTAACCTCACATCTGTACCTTGAGCTTCCCACTCACCAAGGGCTTCCCACTCACCAAGGGCTTCCCACTCATCAAGAGCTTCCCACTCACCAAGGGCTGCACCCTCTGGAGATCCACAGAAAGCAACATCAGGTCGAGGACTTCGATGACCACACAAATAGGTACAATCTTCTTCAGCATGTTAGACACTTTTGAGCCAAAGATGTCTGAAAGGGGTCAAGCTAGAGAATATAAATAAAATAAAATTACCTTTGATATCAATCTCCATGGTGACAAGAGGAGCCATGTTTGGAGATGTAAAGGCCGAAAGACTTCGTGAATCATACTTGATGCAGCGATTGCCTCTGAAGACCTTTTTGTTGAAGCAGATCATGACTTCGGGGATTGAGTAGTTACCCGCAATTATCAGAGAGGCCAAAAAATTGTCTACACCATCATTCCTGGCTTCAAATATTGGAATCTGGCAACAGTAAAAGAATTTACTTAGTTAGACTTTACTATCATGTATTCACAGTTTCAATTTCAGAGCAAATGTCACTCATTAATTTTTCAGCTTCCTGTGCCAGTGAAAACCACACAAAATGTCCATCCCTATCGCTTGTGGAAAAACTGATACAGACTGCAGTGTCACCTAAGCCAATAGCAGACACACGCACTAAATGAATAAGGCAGCATCACAAATAACCAACACACACAGTCCAACACCAGAAATGTAGTTAATCGTTGATGCAAGTAGCAGTTTCAAAACAGACAAGTAGTAGCACATGCATCACAAAAGGAACCACTATTTCTCTGGCAACATGCCAATTGCCATTTTCATAATCTGCATTCACAACACAAACCATGTTGGGCACAGTCACAAAGAATACCAAATGAAATCCGCTGCTCAGTGTTGTGCTAGCATTAAATTCAGTAGTTGGGTGATACAGTCTAAAAAAAAAGATGTATTGTAGACGGAGTTGGGAAATCAACCTGGGAGACGTAAAAGTTAACACCGAATTCTGTGGACATGATAATACAGGAGAATGAAAAGTGTCAAGGAATATCTGAGATCTGGGATGAACCAATTCCAGTCATAACTTGATAAACCGTTCCCCACTGTACACCAGGTAACTGTTAGTAAGCCTATGCTATGAAGCCAACACTTACCTGTGAGCCAGTGAAAACAATGGGCTTGCCCAGGTTTTCACACATGAAGGAGAGAGCCGAGGCAGAGTAGGCCATGGTGTCGGTGCCATGGAGGACCACAAATCCATCATAGTCCTGGTAGTTATCCTGGGAATGATCATGTTTATCTGTTATAATACTAATGATTTTAGTGTTGACACCCAAAGTTTGAAGAGAATAATAATTGAGGGGTATATGCCTGGGAAAGGGGGGGGGGGGGGGGGGGGTCGGGTCGCCGTGGCCGAGCGGCTAGACGCTCACTGCGGATGGGAAGGCGGAGCCGGACTTTTTTCAAAAATTACATTGGCTCCCAGGTCGACCCAGCCTCTAGTGGGTACCGGGTGCTGTCCCGGAAAGTAGAGGCGGCCGGCGGGATGCTCACCACATCACCCATCTTGTGCCAATTGGTCTATAAAAATATAGGTCTAGCCCTATATGCCCTATACGCCTAAAAGCATGTAAAAGGGTCCTTTACTTTTTTTAATCTGCCTGGGAAGAGAGGAAGAGAAAGGCCAAAGAGAAGATGGATGCAGGATGTGATAGATGATCTCCAGATGGGTGTATCGGACGCGGGACATCTTGCTTGTTGTGATCAAGAAGTTTTCCGGAGGGTTCTTAAGGGAGCAAAGTTCTGCAAAGGACAGGCTATTGACTGACTGACTGACTGACTGACTGACTGACTGACTGACTGACTGACTGACTGACTGACTGACTGACACAGGTATTAACTATAATGGAAGAGGCGTGTGGATGTCGTCGAACTGTCCTAACAACCACAATGTTTGTTCATTATTGCCTTTTTCTTCTGCTACTGAGGACCACAAAACCATCGTTGTCCTGGGAGAGATCCGGTTTATCTGCTGTAATACTGATGATTAGCGTTGACAAAGGTTCAACTATAAGTAAGAGGCGTGGGCATGTCGTCAAACTGTTCTAACAACCATAATGTCTGTCCATTATTGCCTTTTTCTTCTGCCACGAAGGACCACGAAACCATCGTAGTCCTGCTAGTTATCACGAGAGCGGCAACGTTTATTTGTTAAGATTACTGATGATTCTACTGTTGACACAGGTAAACTATGATGGAAAAGGCAGCGTATGTTATTAAACTGTTATGACAACCATAGTGTTGTCCATTACTGACTTCTTCTTTTTGTGCACTCACCCATAAAAAGGTGGTTGACCTATTGTGATGTGATTTTACAGCTGGGCTGTCGATGTCTGCACATTTCTGCCTAACACAGCCAATCTCAGCAAAAGTCTAATTAGTCCACTCTTATGACACGCTTTAGGGAGCAGAGGGTCTAATCTTTGTTGACCCTAAAATACAGTCCTTGAGCCCATACGGGGAGTCCATTATCGCCAAAGCGGATCATATCTGCATCAGTTCCAGGGTAGCCAAAAGACCCTCCTCAGCACACACTGAACAAAAACGTCCATAAGCTCCTATTCAATATACTATGCTGTGTGTAGTAGTTAACCAAATTCAGAATATTAAGAGCATTTAACTTTCCTGTAGTAACATATGGATGTGAGTCGTGGATTGTCTCACAACAGGGGCTTCTGAGCTGAAAAGCTACAGAAAGATCTCAGAAAATCAAGCACCAAGAAGACAAGAAATACAAACATCCCAAAAGATGTGAAAATCAAGGAAGATTGGCTAGTAAACAGCATCTCTCTTTAAAAATAAACACGAAATATTTTGGCCAGCATGAATATGCACAGCACATAAAAGATACCTTGGGCAGGAGGTGCTTGGGTGGGACGGAGTCTCCCTCCCCCCAGGCATCCTGTGGTAAGAAAGGCATTTTGTAAAGGACTTACAATATGGTGATTATATATAGTGGTTAATGAAACCAGAACTGTGCTTGTTTACAAATTTTTTCCCCCTCTAGCCCTTTGCCCAGTGTTTACCTGACTTCACACTGTCTAACTTGAAGTTCTTGAATGTCCCAAATGGGTTAAAAATGAATGATGAAACTAATCTGAGTCAAAAATGTTCTTTTATCATCTTCCTCTAACATTTTGTCCAGTTTTCTTTTTGAAAAGGCTTTTTCCAGAAATGTTCATGTGTCCATGACCCATTTTTTTTGGTTTAAAGATTTGGTGGGCAAAAGCATTAACAGGCATCCTGTTCAATCTAAATGGGTTGATTGGACATATAGTATCTATTGTATAATGCTGATAATCACAAATTAGGATAAGAATAATGGAAGACGACAAACTTTTATGCAGGTGGCAATCTTGATCCAGTCAGTGATGCCAATGTTTGACGAGTCCAGAAGAGGATCAAACTCCACTATTTTGTAAATGACATGTCGACGGTCATTGGTTGATTTTCTTTGGAAAAATAATTAGGAAGAATATATACGCAAATGTGTGTGTGTTAAATGGTGGAAGGGGGAGGGGGGGGGGGTAAAATTTTGAATAAAGATGAGTCGCTAATTTGTGACCTTTAAAACAAAGACAGGGTTAGCGATTAATTTGTGACCTTTTAACCCATTGACCTCCATGATCACACGTAATGCGAATCTGCCAACGTCTACGCCTGGCTACCGCGATCACACGTTATGTGATCTGTCAACGTTGGGCCTGGCCACCGCGATCACACCATATGTGATCTGACAATGTTTACACCTGATCTGCTAACATTTACACATGATTACCATGGTGACATGTTGTGCAATCTGCCAACGTTCAGGCCTGACTTCCATGATCAAACGTTACGCAACAGATTACTGCAAACAAATGTTTACAGGTGGATAGCAATAAAGACTTCCAAAAACTTTTTAAACAGTATCTAATCAAAACAAACCAAAACTAAAAAGACCAGGTGGAAGATCAGCTCAGGACAGCAGAAGGAACAGGTCAGGTGGTGACCCCAGACACCCTAGCGTAAAGGAGGTAGTGTAAGTATGATGGGTGCATAGATGTGAGCACATGTGGATGCACAAGGAAGAGTACATGTAGTATGGATGCATTTATGTATACGATGGATACATAAGAAAAGATGTATGTAGGCGAATGGTAAGAGGTCACATGTGGACAGGAAAGTGGGAATATAGATATGCGAAAGGTACAGATGAACGATTAAAAGAATATAGAAATGTTTATGTGTATGTACATATATATATATATATATATATATATATATATATATATATATATATATATATATAATATATAGCGTGTATATTTATATATTCGTGTGTGTAAATGTGTGACTGACCATACAATTCGGGATCTATTAATTATGTGGTTGCGTGGGACTATATGGTGGACGAGTGCTCGCATGCATATTAAATCGCACGAAACTGTTAAGTAATGAGAATAAATTGAATAAAGTATGTACGCCAGCAAGAACCTCATCAGCACACACCATCCACATCTTCCACGAGAACATGATAACAGACAGGCCACATACCAGGAAAGGGACATAACTTGAAAGGTGACACGACCAGACAATATAATACAGACATATCGACACAATAAATAACAAGCAAGACATGGAAGTGTGTGTCCTTAGGGGTGATTGGTTGTGGTTACGGCCAGTTCTAGATGTTTTGGGGTCGTTAAAAGCATCAGAAAGCCGGAAAACCCAGTCTTACCACCCTCTAAAATGTTGGACTGTTCTGTTATGAGTTAGATTATCTTCACAGCACTCCGGACACATTCTTAGGCACTCAAAATTCTCTATCAACAAAATTATCAGCGTCGTGCGGCTAATAGTGCCAGTCCTATGTTGGTTAACAAGACTTCGTGTGCGTCCGGTGTGCTTCTCGTGCTTGGCAGTGCCGATCTTTACTCCCAATTCGCGTATTCTTAGCAGTGATGTGGACACGTTGCTTCCAAAATCCTCACAAAGTCTTATTTCTCTAAGGGCAATGACAATGTCTGCCTGATCCATGGGTCGGCCATCTTTAATTAAATCAGCACCTGCCAGTCTATCAGCTTTTTCATTACCAACAACGCATGTATGACCTGGTACGAATATGAAGGTAACTGCGCACGCAGGAGAGTTTTGCAATGACTCAAGCCACTGTCTGCGTAACCAGCTTGCCTCGACCCGCCGGATCATGCTCAAAGAATCACTCAGCACACACACGCGGGAATAGTCCTGTGATTCTAGCCACATGAAAGCTTGTGTCACCGCCATCACCTCCATCGTCATGCTGCTGGTGGTCATGAAGAAGGTTCCGCTGGCTTCCTTAAATGTTCTGTCTGAAGAGCGAGCTGTAAATGCCTATGCACTCTTATGTCTTCGTACAACAGACCTGTCTGTGAAGATCACCACATCTGTCTCATCTGACTTGTCACTTATAAGCACGCATACCTCGGCATTGACAGCAGCTGGATTCTGCTCCCGACAACTCCTATCGAACGTCACGACACAGGAGAATGTGAGATTAGGCGCTTTAGACACGGGTATCCATTTCTCATCTGTAAGGCTGCAAACCTGCATGATGTCATCCTCTGCCCTACCCAGCCACGATTTGCCCCTTTTAAGCCTATTGCCCTTTTTCTTGTAGTGCAAAGGTACATCAGATCTGAGCTTATCTTGAGGTATTGTCTGTCATGTGACGTCATCTTGGAGTAGATATTAAAAAATAACCAAAAATAGAGCACACTGTGACAGCAGGAAAGTTGGAGAGGAGGAGAGGAAGAAGGAGATCGAGAGAAAAGATGCTGAACAGTTTGACATCATGGCATGGAGGATCATCTGTTCCAGAGTTGATTGAAAGTAAACAAGACAGAAGGCTGTGGATAGACATAGCTACCAACGCCACACGGCATGGACTTTAAAAAAATGAAGAAGATCCGAAAATAGATTGACTGCAGTGCTGATTCCTCCATACTGTTTTACTGATTAAAATGTGCAAATATGTTCATGTTTCAAATACTTCCTGAAGGCCATGGCAGCAGAGTAGCTAGACGCTTGCCCGATAGCCCATAAGAATAGTGTTCAAATCCAAATCGAAGCAGAATTGTTGTAAAAATTGACCTTGGCAAACCTAGTCTTCAATAGGTACCAGGTGTGTCCTGGGAAGTAAAGGTAGCCGCCATGATGTTAACCACATCACTCACTGAATGCAGATGGTCTAGAAAAGTATGAGCCTAGCATCATATACTTAATGTGCTACTGGCATAAAGAATCTTTAACTACATACTTCAAAAACATAAATGAACAACAAAGGTTTACAAATTAAGCACGCAGGCCTGTTTTACATTCGGCCCAATCAAAGACTCATCTTACACCTGGCAAGTGTATTTTATATCATTATGTTCATATATCAAAATTTGTAGTATGAATCTAAAGTAAAAAAAAAAAACTGGAGCATAAGGGGACGTAACTGTAAGTGCATTAGAAGCAAAGCTGATATTTCAGTGTACGCACCTCTTCACCCTGCTTTCTTTGTGCCAAAATTATGACCAGTCAAGTTAAAACATTCATCAATCAATTCAGTGAGCGGATTTTTTTTGGGCCTGACTGACTGACTGACTTTCTACCCCACCAGGACATCACACAAGCGATAAACACCCGATGACACAAAGTGCCACCATGTGGATGAGGATCGCCGTGGAGAGGTCCCAGAAACCGCGTTCAGACATTTGGCCATAATTATGGCCTGCCTATATTGCGGCCCCCGGCAAAAGCCAGGGTGGAGCTTCAAATAAAAAATTTCATCCAGAAAAGGACGATAGGGAATACATAGTAATTTTTTTTGGTTTCCAAAGGGAGCAAATACAGCATTCACATTAGGATTGTGATTAACTACATATAATCTCAAATTCAAATGTGATTTCGGTCTTTAAAAATGTGAAACATTTAAAGAACAGCAAAAGACAAATATTAAAGATCATTCCCAGAATATAATTAATGTATATTGAAGTATTAACTTAACTGGAAACACATATAGTTGTGCGGGCAGTCTAAAATGTTGCAGTGTTCAAAGAAGTTCTTAAGCAGTGTCCAAACAACATCTTCAAAGTGTTTCTATTTGAACTGATGGCTACAATTATTTATGTTATAACCCAGTCATATATGCATTTTTTTTTTAAATTAGCGGAGTTCGAAGTCACTGATGACCATTTTCAAAATAAAGCAAATGTAAACTATATTAAAAATTATTAAAAACAATATTTGAAAAAAAAAAAAAAAAAAAACCAACAACAACAACAACAGGTAATTGATATATAACATTACACACCAATTCGAGGATGTAACGACTGCTTGTGGTTTTGCCACGCACTTTTATTTCAGTAGTTTGCCTTGGCTTCCTGAAAGACCGGCTATCCATCCCATTGTTGAAACCAGCACAAAGCAGCCTGCTGCCAAAATGTCTGCCACTGAATTGAACAGCACATTTTGGAATTATAAATAAACTGCATTTGTCACAAGTGCCGTTTGTATGCATGAGCCCGCTGGGCACTTGCTGGAGGGCCCCACCAGCATAGGGGCCTCATGCTAATCTGTGTATGACAAGTGACTCACCATAAATAACAATTTCATTCCTGTGAATGGTTGTCGTAGGGGTCTCAAGCTAGTTCGCACAGGGCCCATAATACTGTTGAAACAACTCTGTACATAACCTTTAAGCCATAGACGCAGTCAAGTTAAGAAAAAAAAAGTGAAAAAATGCAACCCATAAAAGCGGCAGAACTAGTCAGCTTAAAAAAAAATATCACGATAACTGAGCACTTACTGCAAGATTAAGAAGTCCTGCAGCTCTCGGGTGAGAACCACGTCTTTGTTCGTGCAGTTGAAGATTGGCATCTCCTTCAACTTCTGCACCAGGTAATTGGCTATGGGTTCGTACCCTGCGAGCACGAATACAGCAAAAGTTTAGAAAATCTAAGCAATGTTGTCCATTTGTGAATCTGAAAAAAGAAGACAAACAATAAAAACTGCCATTCCTGTGTTTACCGCTTGTACTATGTAGGCAACAGGTCGTTGAGACTGAGTATTTAAGGTCGCATGGCTAGTGCTATCAACACAGACTCTACATGTTAGAATTATGTGTGTGCCCGCCACAGAAACAATCCACCTTACCGAGGATTCGAACCTAGGTCTCTTACATCATAGCCCAGTATTTCTTGACCGTTTGGCCATCTGCGCCGCAACAAAAAACAACAGGTTGCTAAATTTATAACGAACCCTTGTTTGTTCTGGTTAAACATGTAGCTACTTTTGAATGTAGTCAGTTGCGTGTTTCAGTTAGGATTAATTTAATTGCTTTATTAAGTTCACTTATTACTACAGTTTGCACCAGACGAGATACAGTGAAATAAGCCAGGCAATAATTGTGCAGTCTGTTGTTTATGTCTCCTTTGCTCAGACA